ATGTTGGATACGTTGACTTTGTTGATAAGACCGTTGATGGACTTCTTTAGAGCTTCCCAGCTCATCCTCTGATAGGCCAGGCTGTATAACAGACAGGGTGTCATCAATTACATGCAGTTCTTTAAATAAACAGCTTTTTTTTTTTTTAAACTGCAGTTTTACTGCAGGTACATTTGTAATGAATGCAACTAATCTGATTTGTTTTACTACTGTCTGTTATGCAGTTTTATGCAGTTAGGTGCAGGAACAGTTTATAGTTTGGCATGGTGATGTGTCCAAGTATCACAACAGAATAAAAAGAAAAAAAGTGTTTGAACACTCCTAGTGTAACAAATATAAACATTTCAAAACATTCACACCTGGACTTGGACTGCAGCTTCCAGTGACACTTTCTAATCTTAGTGTATAGGATTAAAGTACTGAAATGCTCTCTTACCTGCTCTTGTCAGTGATTTGCTGCTGCATCAAGCGCAGCTTAGCGGGAGGAATGTAAGCGCCTCCAGTCCTCGTCAGGATTGGATCAAGCTCCTCCTTTTTCTTTTTGACTGGCGGCTCATTGGCCGCAGCTGGTCCCCTGTCAGCCAGAGGGGAAGCGGAGCGACCCCGCCTCCTGTGATCTGAATCAGCCTCTCGATTGGCTCGTCGGTCAAAACGGCCATCTCTGTCATCGCGCCGATCATCATAGCGATCCCTGCAGCAAAGAAGAAACAAAGGAGCAGGTTACTTATTTAAGTAACACTTTTCCTTAAAAGAAAAAACTCTCAGGTCTGAATATGACTTGATTAATCCAGAGAAACCAAATCATATCAACACCGTTACGCTGAATTGGATTTTTAAAGTTTTCGTTTTAGCAGGATTTATAAAAGTTGCCAAGCAGCTGGGAATCTAATGTCTAATAGGGCTGTGCAATCTGACCAAAATCTCATATCCCGATATAAGACATCCATCGTCCGATATCGAATATAAATCACCAAAATTTAACATTTTCTGTCAATTCTGTGAATCTCGGGCAGCTCGACATGCGTGAAGTGTTTCCAGCTGGGCGTCGTGTAGTCGAGTGTTTTAACTGATTCATGAAACGATACATTTTTAGACAAAAGTTGTAACGCCCGCCGTTTTCTTTGTGAGCATTTATTACACGGCGTGCTGCGAGGAAAAGCCTGTTCTAACGTTTGAGTCTAAGGTCTATTTTTTAGCACCTGGCAGCTCTTTTTTACTTCTCATCCGTAAAAACACTCTACATACTCTTTCATGTTATTCCGTTTATTTTGAAAAGTCTCAACAGGATCTTGAGCTTTATTGTGAAAGGTTTATGTGGAAAATAAACAACCAGACGTGCTACCGTTGTTGTTGCTAACGACAACGCATAAAAACAGCCGCTTGTCCGTCCGTAGTGTGGTTATATTAAATATAAGAGAAAGAGAGAACTTTAAGAAATTAATATAGCCACTACAGTGACCATCAAAACCATGAAAAAATATTGCCGTAAACTTTGTTTTGTGACACCACGAAACAAACGATAGTGTAAAATGAAACGATAGATGCTTTTATATCGTCATCTGATATATATCGTACAGCCCTAATATGTATGCATGTATATATATATAACTTGTTAACCCATATGGACTAAGGGCCACATTGGTGCTAAAATGAACACAAGCCAATCACAAAAGCTGCCTTTACCGTGCATAACGTCTTCTGTCATAACGGTCCCTCTCCCTGGATCGGGATCTGTCACGTCCTCTTGACCTCGACCTCTCTCTTCCTCTGGATCTCGACCTGTCCTGTCCTCTGGATCTTGATCTTGATCTCGCCCTCCCTCTAGATGTAGATCTGTCCTTTTCCCTGGATCTGGATCTGTTTCTGTCTCTTTCTCTGGATCTATTTTTCTCTCTGGATCTGGATCTGTCCGTATCCCTGGATCTGGACCGATCTTCTTCCTTGGACCTGGATCTGTCTTGCTCTTTGGATCTTGATCTTGATCTCTGGAACAACAAATAAGCACAGTGACAGCATTATTTTTTTTAAGTTTTCATGTGTTAAAATGATTTGGAACAATCTGAATGCAAGAATGATTTGGACAACACGGAGAACACCAGAGCAGCACAAAACCAAGCTGTCATTTTTAAAAGTTTGAGTTGAGCTGAAAAAGAGAGACAACCCAGCAATGTGAAGTCAGTCTGCCTCAGGTCCTGCATCAAGTAAAAGCCTGTATGCACCTGGGGAGCTCGTGTCTAAGCTGACAGTAATGGAAACAAAGTCCTCTTTGATTTGTGATTCTGTCAGTCAACAAGTTAAATCTTTATTCAGTGTCTTCTTCACTGGATGCACTCATAAATCAGGCCAGCTGACACTAAACATGCTACTGTGTCTTACATCGGTGCCTCAAGCTTAAACTGGGTCCTGTTCTCATGGTAACCATCTCTTCAGACCAAGCAGTTTTTCACACCAGCTGTCCAGAACTGCAGCCTGAATAATCTACTGTGCAACGTGCAGACTAATGCACAGCCACATTTTCAAATGCAAAATAATCAAGTAAATAAGCCTCTTCTTCAGGTACTTTATTCAAAACTATTCTGACATTCAAGATCACTTTTAGGCAAGAATAGTAACAAAATGCTTCAGTTCCCATTTCCACACAAAAATACACCAACTGAATAAATACTGCCAGTTCCTGAACTCTTCTTTGGACAGTATCTAAAACATAACATGGATCACTAAACTCCATTGACCAAAGCGTCTGACTGCATTAACTTTTTAACATTTTGGTGTTTCTGAATTTCTTGTTTTGGCTGGATAATTTTTATTACTGCCGTGAATCTCAACTATTGTTTGGTATAGTTGGGGAAATCAACTTACCTACTCCACCTACTACTAATGGCGTTTCTCACTCCAAACTCAACATTTTTGATTGATGAGGAATTATAATATACAATATATATATATATTTAGAAATATAAAAAAAGGCTTTCAGCATATGTTTCACCCTCTGTAACTGTCTGAAAGCATCCGATTCTTCCATTTCTACCGTAGCAGTCTGTACATTATGAAATGTGACAGACTAGTAAAAGCCACATTTCTTACTTTGATCTGAGCCACGCTGCTTCGAATCTTTCTCAGTGCTGATGAATGATGTTCATCCTCATCACTGCTGCTGGTGCTGTCTGAACTGCTTGAGGATGGGCTCCTGGAGGGCCTGCGGTCCACAGGACTTGGCTGAGGGGACCGTCGCTCATTGGGGCTTCTTTCAACTGAGCCAGCCTGCTGGGCTCTGCCCGATGCTGGACTAGACTCATTCTCTGAAGGTCCTGCAAAGAGAAAAACAGGTCAAGAGCAGTATTAGTATATCCATTCAATATATCCTTCTTCTTCCACTTACCCAATTTAGGGATACTTTGGGGCAGAAGGCAGGGTAGACATCGAACAGGTCACCAGTCTCTCACAGGGCTAACCGGAGACCTATGCTTTGGACTATGACTATTCAATAGCTACGTCATAACCGCAAACTTTGCGAAACTTGTTAATCCATATGCCTGGTGGCCACGTAGGTGAAGGACACTCAAACAACTAAACAAATAAAATGGACACCAGCTAACCACAAAAACGCACATCTATCTGTTACCATTCGTACCATGCACCCTACAGCGCAACCTAATTACATGTTGCACCAATAGATTCTTCTCATGCATTTCAGGCTACTTTTTCACTGCAGTTTTTGAATTTATCAGTGAGAGAATAACAATCATCATCTCAACATAACAGATAATAATTATAGCATCAATATAAGGACTCACAAATGTCAGCAAATTCCTGATGGGAAATTGCCAAAACTATTAAAATGGACGTGTAGGACATGGACATGTACAAAGAAGATGAAAAACTTGAGACAAATATATTTGCCTTTAAAAAAAATGACCACTACAAAACTGGAGGGAAAAGGTCCGTGTATTTTATTTGTTTCTATCAACTGGTACCGAATGAAAAACATGTACACACACCCACACATTAATTTAGACTTAATGTACCAGCACAAACACAACACGTAAATTATGTCGTTAGCGCTACAAAGGTTCACCGCAGAAATCTAAATCAGGTCTAACGGGTGGAAGTACACCAGAGTTCCCAGCAAGGGGTACAGAGAAAATATACAGAAAGACCCAGCTGCTGGATTCAAACCCAGGACCTTCTTGCTGTGAGGTGACAGCTAATGATTGCAGCACCGTATTGCTCAAGTATAACGGATGGAGATTAAAGCGACTCTTATTACAAGAACATTAAGTGTAGGGTTCACAGCAGCACTAACTCACCACTGTTTTCTCTCTGTGCAGGACTGGGACTTCGACTTCTGTCTGCAGAGTCCATACCTGGAAGGGAGGAAAAAAGACAACTAAGACATTCACTTTGATAGGAAAAATGCAGGTTTTAATTAAAGAAACATTTTTTCTACAAACCCCGTTACATTAGGGAAAAAAACATGTTGATGAGTTAATAAGATTTTATGAGACTTTCTGACATTGTTCTCTGACACGATTAACGTATTTCTACGAAAGACTCGGTTTACAGACTTGTTGATCTGACATTAGTCTGCTCCAGATAAACTTTACATGAAATCACCAATACTCAATGCAGAACAAAGGATACATTTACTGTTTATTAGCCGTTTTGTAAGTGATTAACGATAAAATAAGAGGGACGATGACTTCCTGGTAATGTTTAATCGCCGTACTGAGAGTCAAAAATTTTCATTGCCAACGGACGGAAGAGGTAACAATACGATAACTGGGCATTTCCTGAGGTAAATATTACCAAATGATCAAGTTTGTACGTCTTAATAGCCGATTAAACACATTTTGAGAAGTTTTCTTGAAACAGCAACACCACGCGTTACTAAAACGTCTTTTCAAATCAACTCCTCAGTTTTATCGCCATGTGTGTTAAGCTGAGCTAAAGTTAGCTTGTGTGCTAATGCTGTCTCGGCTACTGCGATCTAAGCTTCTCGCTACTATTTGCTGTCACTAAAACCTTTAAGATTTTATTTCCTTAGCACTTTGACAGAAGGTCTGTCCAGCTAAATTGCTTTGTTTGGGTTTTAATGTCCTTACCATGCAATTTCCCGGCTTTCCTTAAATCACTGTCGTTCGTCTGGCGGAAAACTTCCTATAATAACCAACATTACTTCCGGGTGACAGATCGCTTCCGGATTTCACAATAAAAGCAGCTTGTGAAGTTTGGTTTACTGTTTTTGTTGTTATTTTTCTTTTCCAGTTTCCAGTTTTGTTTCAGGATTCAACATTTATAAATAAAGTTGTAACACAAGAAATAAAGTGTATAAAATAAAATAAACACACATGGCCTTTTGTACACATGAAATTTGTTCATTTATTGTTTCATTTTGTTGTTGTTTTTTAATTTTCATGTCCTCAATTGTACACACACAAACTTCTTTTTTGTGTGTGTAGGTTTAAAGGTAGGAAAAGTACGGGCCAGTTGCTTGAAAACAAGACAACAACTGTAAACAGTTGACTTTTCCCTCAGAATTCTGGAAAAGAAGAAGAAGAAAAAAAAAGACGTGCGCACTTTTTTTCCCCAGTGGCCCCAATCCTATTAAATAAATATTTTAAACCTTATGTTTAAAATATTTGAAGGAAGTTTATATTCTCCAGCACAGGCCTTCAGACATCAAAACGATTTGAGCCTAAACGGAGGGAATAATAACACATAAAATACAACCCTGTTGGTGTATCCATCACTCTATTGCATACAGAGATGAAAGAGGAAAAAACACATAGTTTCTGAGTTATTTATAGCAGTGTGCTCGGGTTTAAAAGGCCCCCGACGATGACGTAGTCTCCGCGGTACTTAAGCATCTAGCTAGCTACTAAAGAGGAGCATAAAAGGAGTACGTGTTTCAGTTCAAACACAAAATTTATAAAAGCTCAACACGCAAACACACACTTGCTAACGGTAAAACTGGCAGAGAAAATAATAAGAGTTAAGTTCACTCAGAGATGGAGAGCAATGTAAGGAAGAGAAGACAGGAAGAATACCAAAAGGCAAGTACTGCTCAGCGGTATTTGATAAAGTGGAAATTTTAAAACCTGCATGTAATGCCCTCTTTTTTTTAATGGCATATTAGCTTTGTATATGATAGGAGGTTGTGAAACAGTCCAGGAAAACAAACTTAAGTATACTAACTTTGTGTTAGCAGTTGAGTGCAGGATAAACATGTTAGCTAGCAGTAATGGGATTTAAAGTAAAGAACAGTGTGTGTGACTGGGGCACAGAGGCTGTGGTGCTCATGGTCATAGTTATGTTACATAAAAGGTAGCAGAGATTCATCTAAATGTAAGTTTATGATTGATTCACAGAATTCCACTAACTTTATGCTGTCTATAAAGACGGTATAATAGGGAACGGAAGTCAACTAGGATATCTCATGAAACATCTTACATTTTGTGGGATTCAGTTGTGTAAATTCACAAAGAGCAGCAGGTCAGCTGGTCGCAGCTTGTACACAAGGAAAATCTATTGAAGCTCACATTAGAAATGATTGTGAGTAGTGATTCTTTTTCCCTCTGAGCTGAGCCACGTCACTACAACCACAGCATTAGAGTTCCTCCACTTGCTGAATCCCACTTAGTCCCTCACATTCAGGTAAACAAAAAACAAAAAATGTGTTGAGTTGTATTCACATTGTTTTATTGTTATATATTAACATAGCATGAGATTTAGTTAGCTTTGCACAACAGTAGCTGGTAGAAATGTCCTTCAAAGAGCTAGTTTTTTCTTTCTTACACTGAGTACATTTCACAGCCTGATTTTACTGATTTTCTTTTATTTGAGTAAAACAATTGATCGGTACTTAACTTTAACACAAGTATCTGTATTTCTAACTAAAGAATGTCTTTGCTTTTGCCACATCTGTTTATTTCCCAACCAAGGCCTGTGCTTTGGTGAGGGAGCTCTTCAAGATTAGAAGACATACAATCTTGTGGTTTCTAACAAAACCAACTTTTGGTCATGTTTCTTTACTTCTTGCTGTTTTTATACCCTCATATAAACTGATGACTCAACAGAAGCTTGATTCCAGATGTGTTTACAGCGATGGTGGTATAGTGGTAAGCATAGCTGCCTTCCAAGCAGTTGACCCGGGTTCGATTCCCGGCCATCGCAGCTTCATTTTGTGACAGAGCAATCAGGGAGGAAAACAAACCTGTTTAATGTCAGAAAGAAGACGATAGTATACAATAAATGAGTATTCAAAGTAAAATAACAATTTATTGTAAAACGATTTTATTGATTTTCTTTTACTTGAGCAGAGAAGTTGAATCAGTACTTTTTAAACAAAACTATCTGTACTTGTGCTTAAGTAAATCCTCTCAATATCACCAGATGCTGTGTTTCCTCCTTTGAGAAGCTCTGCTCAGCCTTTACTGCAGTCTCCTCCAGTTGTTTCTTATTTTTGGGTCTTTCTGCATTTAGTTTTGTATTTAATAACTAAATAGCACAATCTGCTTAGCTGATATCAGGTGATTGAGTTGGCCATGGAAAGATTAAAGTGGAAAAAAGGTGTTTTACCAAGTGTGCAGAACCTGATGATCTGTGAGTAATACTTCTTACTGGCCAGTAATATTGAGAGCTTAAAAAGAAGGCAATTTGACCTTTTTAGATATTTTGAGAATGTTTCACTTATCATCCAAGAGGCTTTGTCATTTATAGATCAACTGTCTAGTTTTGTCTAGTTTTCTAGGGAGGGCTGTCCCTTTGGAGGTGTCATAACCCACAAAGATGGTCGATCATAGTGGACATACACGGCCTCATTTACTGTTCTCTTAAACCAATTGTCATTGTCCAAAATGTGAACACTGGGATCCTGGGAAGCGTGTCCTTTCTTAGGTGTTGCAGGTGTGCCTCTGAGTCTTGTCCTCCTGTGTTGCATTTGTGGACACGTCTACGGCATCCACTGTTTAAGTCTATTCACATTTATGTGATCAACAGCTCACATGATGGCGGGGTGGGGCAAGGTCTCACAGAGGTTTCAGTTGTCGGCCAGGTGATGGGAATGACTCACATATTTTTCACACCTTTGCTCATGTGATGACTCACATTGTCAATAGCAGGTTAACATCCCTAGGAAGTACATCGATTTTTATATACACAGCGCCCAGTTTCAGTCTCAAATTAAACAGACTAATGTCATTTTAAACATAAGGATAGGAATCCTTTGCAGTCAATGACTACTTGAAGTCAAGAACCCATGGACATCAGAGGTGGGAAGCAACGAAATACAAATACTTAGTTACTGTACTTAAGTAGAATTTTCAGGTACCTACACGTTGACTTTTTATTTTTCCGATAACTTCTAACTTTTACTCCTTAAATGTTAACATGGATATCTGTACTTTTTACTCCTTTCATTTTCACAGCAGGCCCGTTACCTTATGTTTAACATATTTGAGGGAAGTTTAAATTCCCCAGCACTGCAGGCCTTAAGACATCAAAGTGATTTGAGCCTAAACGCCTGGTTGCAGCTTGTATGCAAAGAAAATCTCTTGAAGCTCACATTAGAAATGATTGAGTAGTGATTCTTTTCCCCTCTGAGCTGAGCCACTACAACCAACCTTTGAGTTCCTCCACCTGCTGAATCCCAATTAATTCCTCACATTCAGGCAAAAAACAAAAAAAACAAAAAAACTTTGGTGAGGGAGCTCTGCAAGATTAGTAGGATTTGACAGAAGATAAACAATCTTGTGGTTTCTAACAAAACACATTTTTGGTCATGCTTCTTCTCTTCCTGCTGTTTGTATACACCCATATAAACTGACGACTCAACAGAAGCCTGATTCCAGATGTGTTTACAGCGATGGTGGTATAGTGGTAAGCATAGCTGCCTTCCAAGCAGTTGACCCGGGTTCGATTCCCGGCCATCGCAGCTTCATTTTGTGATGGAGGAAAGAAAGTAATTTTATATCAGAAAGAATACGATGTTATGTAATAAATGGGTATTCAAATTAAAAAAAGTTTGTGTTGCCTTGAAATAGCATTACTTTATAATTATCATATTAAAATAATATGACGTTCAGTTAGTTTGCACAGAAACAGCTGGTAGAAATGTCTGTCAAAGACCTACTTTTTACTTTCCTACTCAGATTACATTTCACAGCCTGATTTTATTGATTTTCTTCTACTTGATTAAAGAAGTTGAATCAATACTTTTAAACAAAACTATCTGTACTTCTAGTAAATCCTCTCGATATCACCAGATGCTGCGTTTCTTCCTTTGAGAAGCTCTGCTCAGCCTTTACTGCAGTCTCCTCAGTTGTTTCTTATTTTTGGGTCTTTCTGCATTTAGTTTTGTATTTAATAAATAAATAGCACAATCCGAGTTGAGATCAGGTGACTGACTTGGGCATTAAAGAATATCCATTGCTTTCCACTGAGAAACTTGTTTTTTTTCCAGCATGCTTTGGGTCATCATCCATTTACACTGAAGTGCTGTCTGTAGAGTTTGGCTGAATCTGAGCACAGGGTTTAGCCCTGTACACTTCAGAATTTATCCTGCTTCTTCTATCAGCAGTCAGTGTTAGTAAACACAAGTTGCCTGGTTCCAACTGGAATTCCCAAGCATAATTCCCAAACAACTTATGCAAATCTTAAAAAACAATCCCCAAAGTAAAGCTGATTTCCTACACTTCAATCACATCTTAATTGTTTGTTTTCAAATCCACTGTGCTGGTGGCAAAATTACAAAAATATTGTCTTTGTCAGGCAAATTTTCAGCTTGTCTGTCTAAATATCGAGTATTTATGGGATCCTTCTGAGGTCCACACACAAACACACGGTACACCACTCCTCTGTACTGAAAATAAATACATCTTTATTTTCTCATCTCTATAGAGTGTCCCCTCTTTGCATCCCATTTAAGACATCAGTACAAAATACACATAATCATTATTAGACATTAACAGAAATGAGTAGACACCCACAGTCTGACATTAAAATGAATTAGAAGTGTGTGAAGGATTTCTCATCAGCGAGCACAGAGAGAACGTTTTCTGCAAACACAAATTCAGTAAAGTCTGAAGAGAATCAAAGGACAAATACCAGTTTAATTCATACCAGTTTGGACTGGACTAAATATTTATGCCACATGACAACATCTGAGCCACGTGCTCA